AACGTCACGTTTCAAGCAATGATACAAAATCCGTTTTTCTCAATATCTACAAAAAATTCAATATCAATATCAATATCTAGCCTTCAATATCTCAATATTAAAAATTCAATATTGACATCGTCTCAATATTCAATATCTGATCATTCAATATATTGCAATCCCTGCTTCCCACATTTCAAAACCATCCATTATCGATTTGTAACACTAGTCAGTCAGCTTTTGTCTCTTGTTCTTCCTTTGTATTTTAACTTCTAAAATTGCTCGTTTTGTATAAACATACTGACACGGTTCAATTTTTTTTAGATAAACTGCTCAAAACCGTTGAAATACTGCGCGGTTTTTGAGCGGTTTTTTAGATACACCGGCTCTTTATCCTTCCCCCCCCCACCTCACTCAAACATGAATTTTATAGTCTAACGAGCTGTCTTACAAGGTTAATTATGGAGACCAAATATGTTTGTCATGGCCTAATTAGTCTACATGCCAATTTTCATGACAATCAGACAAAGTGAACATTTTTTTCAATTAAAAAAATTTGCAGGTGGGGGGAAAAGGAAAAAGAGCCGATACACCTTCAAAAACCGCTCATTTTGAAGCAAGATTTTGAGCGCAATCGTTTAAAAAAAACCCTCAAACCGCTCAAGTCTTGCTTCAAATCTCGGCTCGGCTGAAAAATCTCGGCTCGAGTTACGTTGGATTATAGGGCTATGAATGATGTCTTCCATTAAGTGGAAAATTGGTTTTGTCTCGACATCGTTGCATATGAAAAGCAAATTAAACAATTTGATTTTGGCTAATTCATGGTAATTGTTCTTGCGTCTATGAGACCTTGGAAAGCATTCCATGGGAACCACCGTTCTAAGAAGTAGAACCACTCATTCGCTTTTGAAGATGGTTAAAATTTGCTCAGCTTCGGGGAGAGCAATAAGTATCTGTGTATGCAGTTGTGGTCATCTTTTGTCATCAGCTATTTGTCTTTGAGATTGTCATCTTCGGATGTATTGTTGTGTGGAAAATGTTCCAGTAGATGGGAAGCACAAATTTATTATGCCGGCGCGAGATTTTTGGCTGATTTGACAATTTCTTTCGTGAATGGGGTATGATTTTGATTATTTGGATTTGTTTTGTTTCTTTCGTCGATTTATTCGTTGTTAACGCATTTCTGAATTTTTTCTATGTGTCAATCAGCACTTCATGATTAATTGGTAGCTGAGATTCCGTCTTTCGTTTTTAACTCATGACTTAGTTTCTCTCGTGGGGGGCAAAAGAAGCCTTTTTCCGGATTTACATGAAAAAAAAATTAGATTTTTTTTCTTTCAAATGGCAGAAATTAGAAGTCAAAATCGTCACTATATGTTTCTTCTTTCTTTGCTTATTGAATTATAAGATTTCGAATTCATTTTTCAAATTCTTCTTTTGTTACGTGTCTCGTTGGTGATTTTTTTGTTGTCGATAAATAAACATGCAAACGGGTTATTACACATGCTAACAAAATTTGCTAATAAATAGAAAACAAGATAGGTACCAGTATGAAATTTAAATAAATCTTTACAATGGGATTAAAGAAACACATTGATGACATTAACAGCGTCAGTCGAGTGGTACGACAATCCGTGTCAATTCTTGTTAATAGCGACAGTCGAGTGGTACGACAATCCGTGTCAATTTTTGTATTTTAATTATAAAATCTTGTAGAACCTGGTCTTGTTTCAGAGTCACTATGGCAGCTTAGCGTAAAATGTTGAGCTTACAAATACCGGCAAATTTATTCGCTCTATCTTACAGGATGCGTGGAAGGCAGGAGAAAAAATTTCATCCCGATTTTCTTTCATCCAACTGCAGTGTTTGACGTAAAAAGAACCCCTCTTGGTTGGTAATGCGTTGTGTAGCAGTTTTTCGGTGACATTTATTGTAACGTGTTTGTTCAGCAATTCTAAAACCCAAAATCTTAAAATGTTTAATATCTTTAGATTAGAGATTCCCATTATATCCTCCAGCAAATTACAGCTCCATAATGTTAAAAGAATGTCCCACGTTTCGCCCCACAGACATTTCGCCCCTCTTAAATCTAGTGGAACATTTTGCCCCTCATAAATTACTGGCACATTTCGCCCCTAAAATGTACATTAAGAAAGCGGCGTTAATTAACTGTGTAATAAGTTAGGGGCGAAACGTGATAGGACGAAATTTGTGAAATTATTCGGGGCAAAATGTGTGAGGGGCAAATGTGCCACTAGAGTTAAGAGGGGCGAAACTTGTGAATACCCTGGTTAAACTAGGGTAGGACGGCCATAATATGGGAAAAACACGACTCGAATATCCAAAAGGAAAAAATACTGCTTCACCCAGAACATTCTTGAGTTAGTTCTAATTTAAGTATTGTCTTGTACCCCTAGAGAAAGCAATCGTTAGATTCGGGTACCGCCATTATGGATAAAAGTGCAAAACATAAGCAAAGCAAATAGTGGTTTCGACTCAGCTTAATTCTTGGTACTCTACAATCATAATTGTATCAACCGTTATTTTCTATGCGAGGAAATTGTATTTAGTCTTTCTGATGCATTTTGGCCCCCCTCCCCAGCCTAGTAGAAATAAAATTTTCTTTATACATCAAATTAGTAAGTTTTGTCTGATTGATACGTTTTTTGTTCTCTTGAATAAATATCAGAAGGTCACGAAAATTATGCTTAATGTTTTCATAACTACTTCCTTCCTTCAGTAAGTTTTTTTAAGATCTGTACGAATTAAACTGGTGTTGTTTGGTAGAAACCCTTAACTTAACTTCCAGTAACTAGGGCCGCGCTGATACATGTTTGATGGCTTAGAAAAAAATGTGCAAGAGCAATTGATCGGAGATTTATTTTGGATTGCTTTGCATAGAACCATGCTGTGTCGAAATTCATGAAAACATATTCTAAGCTCAAAAAACTTATGTTGTTTGTCAAAATGTGTAAAATCGAAAAAATCGCCCTTGAGTGCGAAATTAGCATTTTGTTATTCGACTTGATTAAACCGTTTGATACAAGCACCATTTGACTAAGGTTCTGAAAAAAATGTTAATATTGTCATATAAGAGTGCATTAAAATCACCCGTCGAGTAATTTTGGGTTGATTGGGTAAGAATATGATACTTAATTTGAAAGAAAGTAAAATTGTTTGACGAGAATTTGGGTTTGCCTAAGTGTTGATAACAAACTAATCAAGTTAGACAAAATTTAACATTTGGAAACCTGTACTTGACGCAATTTTTTTGGCAAGACTAAAAACCGCCAAAACTGTTTGTGCCCGGTATTAAACCAAATGAAACTTTGTTTTCATCCAGTTAACTCAGATGTGTGTTTGTAAGATTTGATATTTTCTTCTTGAATACACAAAAATAAATTGGACATCCTTCTTCAACTCTTGACCTTTTTTGATCATTATTATAATTAAATTTGTTTAGTTTTTTTTGCAATGTAATTGTTTTTTGTTTAATTTGTTTAATTTTAATGCTTTTTATCACCATTTGTTTTATGTGTATGTGTTAAAACGTCACGTTTCAAGCAATGATACAAAATCCGTTTTTCTCAATATCTACAAAAAATTCAATATCAATATCAATATCTAGCCTTCAATATCTCAATATTAAAAATTCAATATTGACATCGTCTCAATATTCAATATCTGATCATTCAATATATTGCAATCCCTGCTTCCCACATTTCAAAACCATCCATTATCGATTTGTAACACTAGTCAGTCAGCTTTTGTCTCTTGTTCTTCCTTTGTATTTTAACTTCTAAAATTGCTCGTTTTGTATAAACATACTGACACGGTTCAATTTTTTTTAGATAAACTGCTCAAAACCGTTGAAATACTGCGCGGTTTTTGAGCGGTTTTTTAGATACACCGGCTCTTTATCCTTCCCCCCCCCCCCCACCTCACTCAAATATGAATTTTATAGTCTAACGAGCTGTCTTACAAGGTTAATTATGGAGACCAAATATGTTTGTCATGGCCTAATTAGTCTACATGCCAATTTTCATGACAATCAGACAAAGTGAACATTTTTTTCAATTAAAAAAATTTGCAGGTGGGGGGAAAAGGAAAAAGAGCCGATACACCTTCAAAAACCGCTCATTTTGAAGCAAGATTTTGAGCGCAATCGTTTAAAAAAACCCTCAAACCGCTCAAGTCTTGCTTCAAATCTCGGCTCGGCTGAAAAATCTCGGCTCGAGTTACGTTGGATTATAGGGCTACGAATGATGTCTTCCATTAAGTGGAAAATTGGTTTTGTCTCGACATCGTTGCATATGAAAAGCAAATTAAACAATTTGATTTTGGCTAATTCATGGTAATTGTTCTTGCGTCCATGAGACCTTGGAAAGCATTCCATGGGAACCACCGTTCTAAGAAGCAGAACCACTCATTCGCTTTTGAAGATGGTTAAAATTTGCTCAGCTTCGGGGAGAGCAATAAGTGTCTGTGTATGCAGTTGTGGTCATCTTTTGTCATCAGCTATTTGTCTTTGAGATTGTCATCTTCGGATGTATTGTTGTGTGGAAAATGTTCCAGTAGATGGGAAGCACAAATTTATTATGCCGGCGCGAGATTTTTGGCTGATTTGACAATTTCTTTCGTGAATGGGGTATGATTTTGATTATTTGGATTTGTTTTGTTTCTTTCGTCGATTTATTCGTTGTTAACGCATTTCTGAATTTTTTCTATGTGTCAATCAGCACTTCATGATTAATTGGTAGCTGAGATTCCGTCTTTCGTTTTTAACTCATGACTTAGTTTTTCTCGTGGGGGGCAAAAGAAGCCTTTTTCCGGATTTACATGAAAAAAAAATTAGATTTTTTTTCTTTCAAATGGCAGAAATTAGAAGTCAAAATCGTCACTATATGTTTCTTCTTTCTTTGCTTATTGAATTATAAGATTTCGAATTCATTTTTCAAATTCTTCTTTTGTTACGTGTCTCGTTGGTGATTTTTTTGTTGTCGATAAATAAACATGCAAACGGGTTATTACACATGCTAACAAAATTTGCTAATAATGGAATTTAATTTGGTGTGAAATAAATAGAAAACAAGATAGGTACCAGTATGAAATTTAAATAAATCTTTACAATGGGATTAAAGAAACACATTGATGACATTAACAGCGTCAGTCGAGTGGTACGACAATCCGTGTCAATTCTTGTTAATAGCGACAGTCGAGTGGTACGACAATCCGTGTCAATTTTTGTATTTTAATTATAAAATCTTGTAGAACCTGGTCTTGTTTCAGAGTCACTATGGCAGCTTAGCGTAAAATGTTGAGCTTACAAATACCGGCAAATTTATTCGCTCTATCTTACAGGATGCGTGGAAGGCAGGAGAAAAAATTTCATCCTGATTTTCTTTCATCCAACTGCAGTGTTTGACGTAAAAAGAACCCCTCTTGGTTGGTAATGCGTTGTGTAGCAGTTTTTCGGTGACATTTATTGTAACGTGTTTGTTCAGCAATTCTAAAACCCAAAATCTTAAAATGTTTAATATCTTTAGATTAGAGATTCCCATTATATCCTCCAGCAAATTACAGCTCCATAATGTTAAAAGAATGTCCCACGTTTCGCCCCACAGACATTTCGCCCCTCTTAAATCTAGTTGAACATTTTGCCCCTCATAAATTACTGGCACATTTCGCCCCTAAAATGTACATTAAGAAAGCGGCGTTAATTAACTGTAATAAGTTAGGGGCGAAACGTGATAGGACGAAATTTGTGAAATTATTCGGGGCGAAATGTGTGAGGGGCAAATGTGCCACTAGAGTTAAGAGGGGCGAAACTTGTGAATACCCTGGTTAAACTAGGGTAGGACGGCCATAATATGGGAAAAACACGACTCGAATATCCAAAAGGAAAAAATACTGCTTCACCCAGAACATTCTTGAGTTAGTTCTAATTTAAGTATTGTCTTGTACCCCTAGAGAAAGCAATCATTAGATTCGGGTACCGCCATTATGGATAAAAGTGCAAAACATAAGCAAAGCAAATAGTGGTTTCGACTCAGCTTAATTCTTGGTACTCTACAATCATAATAGTATCAACCGTTATTTTCTATGCGAGGAAATTGTATTTAGTCTTTCTGATGCATTTTAGCCCCCCTCCCCAGCCTAGTAACAGAAAAAGAAAGCTTTCATCACTGATTGGGGTTAGGATGGCGAAAAGTCCAATTTTTCGGATTTTTTTTTGTAATTGTTTAAATAATATTTAGAAATGGACTTTTGATATATTGTCTTCATTCTTGATTGCATCCTGGCTGGGCCCAATTTAATTAGAGATCCAGGTTACTGCATGAATATCATCTTCAACAATCAGTCCTGTATGAGGCAGATTTATAACAGAGGTAAATGGAGCTCGAAATAGTATAGTCAATCAGGGAAAGTTATCAGATGACATCATGCTAATATTTTATTTGTTGAAATAAATATTGGCCGGAACAATCTGATAAGCAATTCGCTACCCTCGATATATTTAGGTTTTCAAGTCACATAAGTTGATTTATCTAATCGAGCGTTTGTTTCAGGTGCTACTCGAAGGTGACTATTTCTATGGCTAATAAGCGGATCAAGCGCAAAGTCAATAGCTGTGGTGGTGGTGCTATGTCGGCGGGTATTGGAGCAACGAGTGGGAGGCGTTACTATGCTGGGTCTAATGTCTCTAGTGCTGGTTTAGTAACTCCATCACTATTCCACTCGTCTGTTGGACGCATAACCGTGCGCGAGCAATTAACAGCAATACGTGGTGCTACCAAACCAAACTCAGGCTCTCACAATTCGTTCTCAAAAGTATCTTTATCCACTTCTGGTAGCCAATTTAGTAGCAACCGAGGTCTTCAGGGTCGGCGGCTGCAGCGATTGCAACCGGCCTCAACAAAACCAGCAGTTGCTAATCAATTTTGTCTCAATAGGTGCTATTCGTCTCAAGGTGCTAACCTCGGTGTTGAAGTAACAGCAGACCCAATGTCCAATAACAGTAGTAAACTAAATCTTATCCAGCATTCGTCCCTTCCCAACCCTCCTGCCCAAGTACAATTAACAGCCCATTTGAAATATCCCAACAAATTCTGTTCACCTGCATTGATCATGGAGAATAAAACTTTCGAGAAAAACGTGATGAACAAAGATCAATGTATAGCTCAGAAAAACGGTTTAAAAGCTACAAAACCCATTCAATCATGTACCTCCGAAGAATGTGAAGCTGATCACGAGGTTGCTTTAATTAATTCGAGCTTCGGAATAGTGACTCCTTCTAAAGCTAGCTCCAAGCGTAAACGGTTGAACAGAAATTCACCCCGGTTCATTAAATCCATCAGAAAGCTACGACTGTCTCCTAGACTGAACAAAAGTCCCGCAAATTTGCCTAATAATTTACAACAGTCAAAAGTGCCGATACAGAAAAAGGGAAAGAGGAATCTAAAATCGGGTTCTCCATTCAAAGACGAATATTCTAACAGGAGAGAACCAAACTGCCTAGATGCCCTGATAGAACGACAAAATATGCTGAAAAAGATAGTCGTTACACTAAAGCGAAAGCCGCACCCTCTAACAAACTTGAAAAAAGGTACGACGAAGATTCAAGTTATTTCATTGTCCTACGTTTTAACCCTTGCGATACGCAAATGTATTGCAATCGGTTACAAGACTTTTTTTGCCCGTAAAAAATTTTGTTCACAGAATGGTAACTTCTTACTCAACGTTTTGCAAATTCAAATAAAACTACCATCAATTAAGTAGTAGTTAAGACCGTTTCAGTTAGTAATTATTTTTTCAAAAAATTTTCTCGATTTTTTTTTTCGGGTTAGTTATTTTCGTCGGTTCATTTTCCGTTTTTTAAACGTTTTTTATCTTCTGGTACGGTTTTAATTAGCGTACTTCCTAAAGAATAGTTTTTAAATCAATTTAAACAGTTTTCTACGATATTTGAAGTTTCAGTAATTTGTAAATTTACCAAGTCTGATTTCGTGTAAGTTTTTCTTCATTTTTATCGGTTTTTACCCTTGCGATTAGCAAGTATTGCAACTGGGTACTCGACTTTTTCTCCTAATAAAACGTTGTCCACAGGGCTCACTTCTTGACTCCTTCACCTCTTCGTCATCTTTGCAAATCCTACTCCTATATTAAGCATGATTGAAATTGTCATTTTAAATATCCGTCCTTTTCAAATTTTTTTTGTGTCCTTTGTTCGGCTTAATACTCTTCGGTCTATTTTATATCGGCTTAGTGGCCTAATTTCGAGTAGTTTCATAGGAAACATAATTTGTAGGCTCACCTCTGGATCATGCAAAATGCTTAAAATCTTAATAGAAATTATATTACAAGTTTTCCATGCAAAATTTTTTTCGGCTTTTTGTTTTCTTTTTTTCTTCGTTTGATACGTTTCGGCCTCTAATATATAACTGTTTAATGGTCGCATTTTGTGCCTTTCGATGGTCGAAAAAAGTTGTGCAGGCTGCAAGTGTTTGCGAAGCCCAGCTTCGCGTTTCTGTTGATGAATTGTATTCATTTTTTTACCTGCGTCGAGTGAGGGCTAGTGGTGATCGAACATCCCTTAAGGAAATTGTAATAATCTATCGTACTTATTAAATCTTTAGCTCCCTAAATACCACCTAGAGAAAAAATCGTGATTTTTACCCTTGCAATAAGCAAGGGTATTGCAATCGGGTACTAGACTTTTTCCCGTAAAGAATTTTCCCCTAAAAGAGTTAACGAATACGCCTGTGACGGCAAAGGTCCTGGGATCGAATCTGACAGGACCCGTTTCTTTTTAAACGGGTAGTATTCTGTTTCAGAAAGAAATTGTCGGCTTCTTATTTGTATGCTTATGTTGTGTCTGCTTAATTGCCACATCGTAGATTTGTTTTTGTTTTGCTGCACGCACGTTACTTTGTAGTTGCTTGTAATCTTTTGTTGTTTTTCTGCTCTTTGTAATTTGACTAGCCTTGGCATCGTATATTTTCTTTTTTTTCGCTTAAAAACTTTAGTCTGCCCAAATGATTTATTATCGGCTTAATCACCTATTTATGACTTATTTCATCTATTAATGACCTCTGGATTGCACAAAGTGCTACAAATCTGAATAGGAATTTAAGTTTTCCATGACAACAGTTTTTTTTTTCTTTTTCCTTTTTTCGGCTATAGGTTTCGGCCTGTTTTCAATTGCGGTGATATGTTACAATAGGTGGCAATTTTGAGTTAGTTCTTGAAGTTCCAAATACTCATTTTAGTTCAGAAATTTCCTAAGAACTGTTTTCGGTACAATTTAATGCTACTTGCACATCACATATCTGTTTTTGATAATGTCTGTTCTTGATACATATTTGTCAATTATGGAGCTGTAATGCAACTTTTTTTTTTAGCTTTAGACCAAGCCAGAAAAGTGAAAGAAGAAATCCACAGTTTCAACGACTGCTTGAACGAACAATTCACTGAGTTAGTGCTCTTGTTTTTTTTTCTGGGAAATCTAGCTGAACTTGTTTTAAATTTTGCCTGTTTTACAGTTTGAATCAGTTGATCTGCTCGACGCCAGATATAAAAGACGAAGCTTTGATCAATCCGATTGAAAACCCCATAATGCCTAGGAAATTTGAAACCGAAAGTTCGGCAGAGATTTTTAGTTTGAAGGAAGAATTTGAACAAATACATAACCATGAGTTCTTGAAGACAAACAGTGATAGCAACCTACCACCATCAGTTTCGGATTCCTTTGATGATTTGATCCCCGAAGAGTTCATGATGGACGAGACTGACATCCTGGGAATCTCACTTGACAATATTTCGGCCTTTGGAGATGACAACTTCAACGAACATGATTTCGACGAAGAAACTAGATCCAGCTTCCCAGAGGAGACCACCAATGTTCATTTCAACGCTAAACTGAATCACATCGGTTAGTGACTTTCAAGTCCAAGCTGATTATAGTTTGCTTGTTCGATTTGATTTTTTAAATGTCATGCCCTGCAAACAGTACCACTGCAGCTTGGTTTTACCACTGTTTGCGTGGTCGCCATCGATCATAAGTTGTATAAAAGTTCAATAATCAAAACTAACAAGACCTTCGAAATATGCGGAATTTTTTTTGAAACATCGAAATATTTTTTTTGTTAAGTATTAGTTAGCTAAGCGATTTTTCCTTGATTTTGTTTTGTATGCAACCATGATCCTTTCTTGTTGCTTGAGGGAGAGTTAATTTGCATTTAGGTCTTATAGAGGTATAAGCAAAAACCGACAGTAAAAAAACCAGCTGAAGTATGAACCAACCGAAAATGAGTGTAGAAGCCAGCCGAAAAGTTACATCATATGAATGAATTTGCATATCTTTCGTAACTGTTACATAATTATTACAAATCTATTATATAAAAGTTACGTTTTTTCGACTGGATTATACTTGTGCTTGTTTATATGCTACCAAATCAACAATTTCAATTTTCGAAAGGCGCCAATATATAATAATTTTGAGGGGGGAGGCGCGCGCCGAAAAAACGCGATTTTGTGGTCGAAATTTTCCAAAAAGTACCTAAAAACGCCTTTTTAGCCTGTTCTTTGAAAAATTGCGTAAAAAATTTGTTCGAAAAAAGGTCTGTATAAAGATTTGGGAGAGCTTTTCTCCCCTTCCCTTTCTGACTTTTTAATTAAATGTTTCTCTATCCAAGATCTCAATTTGCCCAGATGTTTCTGCTGTCGGTATCGATAAATGTTATTGGTTGATTTTTAAAACTAGTGCAGTGGTTTTTGCGCGGTATATTAGTTCAGTATAATTTTCATTGTCAATCCCTCTTGTGCTTAGGTTTAAGAGTCCATGTGCTAGGCTTGATTATAAAAGCCATGTTCCCGATCCCAATTAAGTAGAATTATACATCAAAGCTCCGTGGTAAGGTATGGAAAAAATTATCTGGGCATCGGTTGTAGTGTAAATGTGTGCTGCTTATTGGGGTACATTTTTTTACTCTTCAATTGTCCCTGTGCATTTAGGGTGCAATGAAAACGCAGTGACGTCCACTCAAAACATGGCAAATCTACATCACTTATCAGTGCAAAATATTCGATGCCCGGCTGGCGATGACAATTGCCAGTTCAAACTCAACACAGACGCCAATAATGCGAAAGGCGAATGCTGGACACATTTGGATAAGTTAGTTTCTGTGGAAGAAAATTCAGAGAACGGCGGTCAGGTATCCCTTCTGACCAATTCAGGAAACGCACCTGTGAATAAAAAACCAGTTCGCGTAATATATAACTACAATAATAATAGAGTGGCTGTCCCCAATCCAAAAATCGACGTGAGCCTGGAAGGCGAGTGCTCAGTTGCCAGTGACTATCTTGAGGATCTGTGGCAAACTCAATTTTGGGGTCTGAGCGAGAATGATGCTGCGGCCTCAACACGCAGATTAACGAGTGGCACCAGAAGTACAAACAGGACCCCCAATTTCGCCGATTTTTTCTCCAATATATCCTGCACCTCATCTGCCAGAATGGACTCCCCGCTCCTGTTTTTGAACCCCTCTCCCTCCGACGAAATTTCTTCAATGGCATCTTGAAAAGAGACTACGATTTTTGTCGAGTCTGAAGAGACTTGAGTGGGTTTTCTAACCGAAGAAACAATTTATAATTATGGCTGCATTTTTGGTTCAACGGTAGTAGTTGCACGCTTATGCTTAATATCGTATCTTAAACTAACCCTTGAGTTCAAAACTTTAATTATTTCCGGTAGCTTGATTATATCCGGATTTTTTTTGTTTGAATTATAAGTATCCTTTTAATCTCGAATTAATGTTTAGTGTGACCACTAACTGACTAGTTTGTGGTTCAATGAATGATATTATTTGGTAATTAATGTGACCATATTTTCGATGCTCTTTCGCATCAAGTTCAATGCAACTAAACTACATTTAAAGGAATAATTCATATACTAAATCATACGGCGCTTAGGTGAAAGTTTCTATCTCAGCAAAGTTTTGTATTCATTTGTATTTTCTCTATTAGTGATTGATTTCGGAAGATTTTAGTGTCATTTCGTGTTTTAGTGTTACTTTGATGCTCACGTTTGTTGCTTATGCGATTAAGGTCACTATTTCAAAGTTTAGAAATACTTTCGTAAAGCTCTCCTCCGTTTTCCACCGATATTTAATTTCAATTATAGTTGTTTAGAAGCAATTGTTGATATTTCACGTTTTGTGGAAAGGACGTGGCGGGGGTCATGTTTCGATGGTGTATTCTGCACTTGGTGCTAAATTTGAGTGCTATACTGTCCGAGGATGCTTCGTAGATTTCGATGCTAAAAATTGTACATTTAATTAGTGCGTTAGTGGTTGTTTATTTGTATGCCCGCTTAGCTATGGGAAAAACCAGATAGAGCAGAGATACCGTTTGAAATTCATTTAGGGTATTTGTGACATAATGATTTGATATTAAAGAAACGGTTTTTCTTGCAAATGTTTCTCTGGTTCCAATTGATTCGAGTTTGAAAACCCGTTTCTTCTCTAGTAATAGATAATGCTCTTAGTTCGATTGTCTATTCTAAACTAGCGTTCGCTTAGTTCAATTCAAATTTCATTTGATTAAATTTTGGTACCGAAATCGCATGGATCAAAGGAAAGTTGATTAAATGAGATTTTTCATAGAATTATATCCAGCCGGTTTCAGCTGAAGTTGCACAGTTATGCAATTGCAATGTAATGTAATGCAAATGTAATTATGTTTTTTGCTGAGCTTTGAACGCACAGGATGGATATTGATAGTTGAGATAACCTCAAATAAACAAGATTAAAATCGAAAGAGACCACGTAGTAAAATCATATAAAGAATATCAGGGTCGGCGTCTTTGACACTCAGTTAATCTAGGAAGAAAAACAACAAGACTGCTCGTATCAGGGCGAAGCCCTGAATGTTCCGACTGCCTTTTAAGGTTTATGGAGCAGTAATAACATTAAAAAACTCAATGAAATAAAACAAAATAAAGAAAAAAATTTCTAAAATTTGAAATTTTTTATGAAAATCATCCCCCCACACGCCATATAAAGTACAAAAGGATAAATTTCGCTCCTTGTAACAAACCAGTTATTGCAAATAAGCTTCTTTTAACCAATTTGGAACCATTTCTAAGACGGATTAACTCTCCGCTTACGCGTTAATAGCGCGAAATATATCGCGCGTTAATTGTCCCAAATTGGCCAAAATGGCAATCTTTAAACCCCCGTAACTTTACGAAATATGACCACAGGTGAAATATCTTTTCAAATTTGAGCTCAAGACAACAATACCTTTTGAATGATATAAAAAAACTCCGTCAAAAATGGCTAGTTAAAAAGTCGAAATTTGTCTGAAGAAAAAAAAACCCACCCCGAGCACAAATATTCCGTTACTTTCGTATCAAAAGTCGGAATAGTAAGACTAGTTTCTCAACGGATTTTTTAAACCTTGCAGTTAGCAATTGTTATTAAGTGGTACAACACTTTTTCGCAGAATTCGCGCATCAAATTATGATCGGGAACACAGACCTGTGCTTTGACTCCGGGCGGAAACTACTTCTCTGCAACAGGGCCATTTTAATGAAATTTCATGAACTTAGAGTTGACACTTAAATAGGGCGCGATGATTTAATATTTTTACAGGAAAGTCTTCATCCTTGCGATAAACACGGGTTTTGCAATCAGGTACTACACTTATTTAAAATTGGATCAGGCCAAATTTTTTTTGGCAGTTTGACTTTGATTTCTTTGTGTTCAATTCAAATTCATTTGCTAAAAGGAAGGCACTATAAATTACGCTCTACAAATAAGAAAGCGCAAATGGCGCGAAAAAACAAGTTCGCTAATTAGGTGCGAAAGTGGGTTTTAATTTTCAGATTTCCCAGCGGAACAGAAAACAGCTTTTCCACTGCCCGACCTTTGATTTTGATTTTTGAAAACTAGCGCTTTAAATTATCCGGACGAAACGACCAAAACTTGAAATTTCAAAATCGTTTTTCTCAAATTTCTTTAAGATTTACCCAAAAAACGAGTCATTTTGGTTTTTATTTAATTACTCAAGAATCACGCTGAAATTACGTTAATAATAGATAAGAAAATTATATCACAAGACGCCTCTTAGACATCCCAACAAAGTTCTAGAAGGATTAAATCTGCATGTCCTATTTAAGCCGTAATTGCACGTAAAGCAACTAGAAAATCAATAAACTTCACAACTGAGGGGAAAATAGAAAAAATCTTGGAAAAATATCTTTTGTTCAAAGTTTTTCTGATGTTCTAAATATAGGTTTCAACGTGGAATTTAGTAATTGGATTTTACAGCGAAATAGAAAATTCATCTACTGATCAATTCTTTTATGATTTGTTTTTATGAGAAAAAGTGTTAACCATATCAATTTCCATAAATTGGGTTGACAACTAGCGTAACGAAATCTTCGAATTATTTGTGCACAATTCGATTCTGTAGCATCTTGCTCATTTTTTTGAAATTCATATTTAACTACCGATTAAGAAAATTAGTTGAGGGCCTAGGCTGGAATCCGGTCAGCTCGTGTTTTTTAAGCCCAAATTATTTAGTATCAAAAAAATAGCGCCCTATCAGTTGTCTGCTTATATTTTGTCGGCTTAGTTTCCACATATCTTACTGTTCGTAATTTGCAAGATAATTTCATTGTATATTCGGCAGAAATGGTCTTGAGGTTAGGAATACGCCTGGGACCGCAAAGGTTTTTGGGGTTAACCTGACAGGACTTGGTTTTTTTTCAAACGAAAATTAAAGCGTTTCAAAAAAATTGTCGGCCTAATATTCGGCTGCTTATGTTTTGTCGGCTTAGTTGCTACATCTTATAACTGTTTTTTCCCACGTAATTTTCATATTAGATGCTTTTAGGGTTTTGATTTACTTCGTCTATTTGTAATTTCTTGGTTTTTTCTTCAAATTTTTTTTGTGCCTTCATGATTTCGTTATACCTTTTTATCGGCTCAGTAATCTCATATTCAGTCCGCTCACCTAGTTTTAATGCTCAACTCTAAATTGCACAATTTGATTAAGTTTAAAGAGAAATTAAAACTCAAGTTTTCATGGCAACATTTTTTTGTACTCTTTAATTTTTTCTTTTACTTTTTCGACTTGATTGGTTTCAGTCTATATTATATCAATTTAATGGCATAATTTTGCTCTTTTTGACTTGCGAAAAAAGATTTTGTGTGTGTGTTTTGGGGCTGCGAGTGTTTTGAAAGTTTATCATAAGTCTTAAACAGTTTGAATTGTTTTCCGGCTTTTTTTCTTCGTTTTAACAAAGAATTCGGACTGTTTTATATCGGCTTAGCTGCTTTGCATTGTTTCATTTGACTAGCAAAAACCTGTCTGTGTTTGTGTGTTTTGAAGGAGAAGGGGCTTTTTATAAGCCTTAGTCTTTTTGTTTTTTTTGTTTTTGTTTCGGCTTAAAGGATTTCTGCAAAGTGAATTCGTCTTTTTATTCTTGCTAATTTAACTTTCGATTGTCTTTGTTGACATGACATCAAAACTAGCCTGATTCATTTTGATAGATCTAGTATTTCTACGTTTTGGAGTTTTCTCCCGTTTTTGCGGCTTTTTTGTGTTGGATCGCAAGTGATTCTAAGCGCAGCTTCGCCTCTGTACAGTTTTTTCTTCTCTGGTCGAGTTTTTGAGGTAAATTTTTTAAACGAGTTTGTTGTCAGTTTCTCGTTTTTCTTCTCTTAACCGTCGCGTCAGGAGAATATTGATTTTTGTTTTTTGGCTTTTTGATTTAAACTTGAAAATGCAAAAGCTTTAAAGTCGGGAAGTAGATTTTTTTCCAGCAAACAACTTTTTTTAAACAATTTTTCAAAATGCTCCATTATTGAATCAACAATTTCAAGGTTCCCTCGCTCTTGGTCGTCGCTTTTGCACCTAAGATACGGGGTTTGAATCCCTGACTTAAGTTGTTTTTTTTTCAGTATGAAGGCTATTGCAAATTTTTTTCCAGTTAAATTGATTTGCCATACTTTCGTTCATTCGCTCAAGTTTTGTCGGCTTAGTTGCAAAATCACTGATTTAGTTGTGTTGTTAGTAAGTATCATAGTAAATGCTAATTTTGTTTTTTGTAATTTCAGGGGGGCTTGAAGTTTTTAAAGTTTGTGCATTAATTTTTTTTTCGGCTCATCTGGTGTCTGCTCAAAGATCTTCGGCTTTAATTTCGCGTTGTCAGTTTTGTTCCGTTGCTAACTTAAAATTCAATTGTCTTACCTGCATATTTGCCTAGAATTCTTGATTTATAAAAACAGGTGTTATTAAATTGTATGGGACTGAGTTTTTTGTTTTACTTGTTGACAGGTAATGGAAGTTTTCATTTTTTTCTACAAAAATTTGTTTGATCAAAAACGATTCAATCTTTTTTCAAAAAAGAGGTAGCAGTGGAAGAACAGCTGCTCCCCTGTGCGCCTGAATACTCCACCAGTCTCTGTTCTCTTTACCCCTCTGTCTGTAGCTTTCAAAAAGTCTCTTGGGGAATATTTCACATCTGAGAATTTGGGTTCAATGGAAATAACGGGTAGTGATAAACTCACCTGCAATAAGAGCCACTTAGAAAATTTTTGCAAAAAATTGTAATCGCCCTCCGTAAAATCAAATCTGTGATTTTTGACCGTTTTTCTACCCTCTCATATTTTTTCACTGGAGAGAGCAAATGTCTTGTAATCGGGAACTAGAACTTTTCCCCCTTAAAAACGTTTCATACAATTTTAGCTGCACGTATTTCTTACTTTGCACGCATATCACTAACTGAACGTATATTTTTTGTTGTAAAAGCTGACATGCTCAAAATCAAATGAAACTACATCTCAGATCATTTTAAATAGTAATTAATTTTTCAAATACATTTATTGAAAATTGGTGATTTTTTGATTTTGTGGTTTTCGTCCTAATTTCTGTCGGCCCATGTGTCCTTTTTCCTAAGTGCAATTTGTAATATGTACACTTTCAAATAATTAAATTTCAGTGCTTGTTTGTTTTATTCAAAAATTTTTTTTCTATAACTGAAAGTTTTGTAGTTACTAAATTTACAAACCGATTTCAAATAATTTTAATCTTTTTTTCGTTTAACGGAGTCAAATTTTTTTATGTTGGCTTATTCAAATTATATTGCGTAAACTCAAGAAGTGTTTTTCATGCTTTCTCGTGTTTCACGAGGGATGGGCTGTAACAAATTCAAGTTCTAAAATTTGATAGCTCTTAATTATGACTACAGTTTCGTTTCCGGCTTAAAAATGGTCAATCATATTTTTGTCAGGATTTTCTTTTTTTTTTAATTATCGTAAAATGCAATGTTTTGATTGTATCTCAAGTGTTGCAAAGCCAAGCTTCGATTCAAACTTTTCTTCAATAAATGGAAATTTGTTGTATAGGTTGTAAAAATTCGAACTCCGATTTTATTCTTTTTTTTTCGATTAAACGGGTTCGGCTGTTGTTATATCGGCTTAGTAAAGTTATGATGCCTAGTTAATTGGCTAGTTTTCAAATTTTTTTGACTGTTTCAGTATGTATGGGTCCTAAAAATATTGGTTTTTACACAACGGAGCGTAGTGTCATTTTACTGGTTTCATTTTTTTTTTCAAACTCAAGTCGCAGATAAAAGTGCTCATTATTTTGTGGCTTCAAGGCTGCTTTATATTTTAGTAATTTTTGCTTCATCCTAAGTTATTCTTGTTTATGGTTTATTGCTGGCTAGTTTATGCTCGATAAAAAACAGAAAATCTGAAAACATATGTACGAGACTCTTCTGGAAGTTTTTGCTTTTTCGCAAAGGTCTCGGTTTCTCTCGAGATTTTGCTCACCAAAGTTCAAAAAGAGTTACTAGTAGATAGAACAGCTACTTCTGTGTGATTAAATAGTCTGCTTAACCCTTCTTTATTTTATTGGACGGTCTTAGTCTATCGAACTCATTCTGTTGGAATGAGTTTTTGACCGATTTTTTAACTATTTTGTTTGTGCTCGCAAAATACCATTACAATTCTGAACGCTGTTTTAGACATAGCACTTGTACAAGTTGCTACGCGCTAATTTTTGTTGAAAAAAAAGTTCTGGCCTTATAAAATGTCGGAATTTTGACTATTTTTGGAAAATTGTTCCTTTTCTTAAAAACACCTGCCAAATCTGAGGTTTAACTGCTTAATCAATTAATGAAATTAAACTGCAAAACTAGTTTTGCCCTCATTTTTGATGAAAAAAACTAATCGCCTTGAAAATGAACAATTTGTGAAGGTGCTCGTTTTTTGAAAACTTTTTGTCGACCCTAGATTTTATGTCTTAATTTCCGCTCAGCCAAGGTTCTCAATGTTTCTTTAGGTCATTTCTGAACATCATCCAAATGTGATTTTTGTAGATCAAGTTTTTTGGCTTTTTTTATCTTAATTTATGTCTTACTTTTAATTCAAAAAATAATTATGCCATTTTTGTTGATAAAGTTTTTCGACTTTTTTCTCAAGATCTAGCCTCCCAAATTTGATATTTAATTTGAAATGATTTTAGATGTTGCTTGAGTTCCTCTGCATGCGCGGCTACCCCCAAGTAACTTTTTTGAAAAAAACTTTAATTCTCAGAAAAGTCAGTTTTTTACCGTTTTTTGAAACTATTTGATGTGTCTCAAAACATTATACTCACAAATCTGAACTTCTTAGTTCAATCGAAATAACAATAAAGATAACCATTTGACAATCAAGCTTTTGGGTTCAATCAAAATAACAGGTTGCTTGAATCTTCTTTGCTTGAGGAGCTGCGTTCAAAAATTTTTATCTACAACTAGAAAATGTCAAATTTTTGTTTGTTGTGCTTGAATCTTCTTTGCTTGAAGAGCTGCGTTGAAAACTTTTCAGATAAAGCTAGAGACTTTCAAATTTTTGATTTGTCGACCATTTTTTTGGAAATTTTTCACGATAACTATCCCGCCAAATCGCATATCAAAGGTTTAATTGAAATGAAAAATTGCTTAAAGCTTAATTTTATGTTTGGCTCTTCAAAATTTCATTTTAAAAAAGTTACTCTTTTCAAAAAAATCAACGTTTTGAAACCTTGACTGTTTTTTGGAAACTTTTTTGACTTTTCTCGAAAATTGCTCTGCCGATTCTCAGATTAAGTGATCAATCGAAAAACCTTGGTTTGGCAATCTATCTTCTCTGGTGAAGAGGCACGACATAGTTTCATTGGAGCAAAATATGGGTATGGGAAATTGAAGTTCTTGTAAGATGGCCGTTTTTTGGCATTATATTGACGAAACTTTTTGACTTTTCTTAAAAACCACTCAGTAAAATCTGAGATGAAGGGTTCAGTAGAAAGAACCGATTGCGAGTGAATTTCCTACGGCCGCGGCGATTCGTTAATTTTTCGTACGAGAAATGTTACATTTTGCTAAAATTCCATTATCTCACTTTTCACTGTTTTTTGCTTATTTTAGTAGAGAAGCAACTATGGTTTTGAGCAAATTCACATTAAGGAAATTACCCATTTTATACCGCATCATTAAAACAAGTTATAAAAGTACCAAACCAGTCTTAGCTGGGCCCGTAGTTATATTTTATTGAGATATAAGAAAATTTTGGTTCACCTAGTCTTTTTCAATTGTTTTAAGTTTTTTTCAACTTCGTAAATTTTTTTTGTTTGTATTGTATCTCAAGTGATGTAAAGCTCCGCTTCGCCTCTGTTTCTGAAATTTTGTCTGCTTGGTGTGTAAGCTAATTTGAAATGTTTGCATGCAGATGGATGTTTGTGATTATTTTTTCGCATTAATAAAAAATCATCGGAACAACTCACTTAAACTGTCTTTGAAAAACCAGCTTTTTGCAGTAGGTAGTTGTTCCGATGATTTTTTATTGTGAAAAAATAATCACAAACATCTATCTGCCTGCATGCAAACATTTCAAATTAGCTTACAAACCAAGCAGACAAAAGCTGGTTTTTCAAAGACAGTTTGAGTGACATATTTTTTCTAAAAAAAACTTTCTTGTCGAAAAAAAATTGTTTCTCTTAGGTTTGGAAATTTGAAATTTCAGGACAGTATTTTTTCCTAGGATGCATTTTGCAGGTCAATAATTTCGTCTATAGCGTACGCGATAAACGAAATATTCAAAAGCTTAATCCAACAACCTTTCTCTTCATCTCTTGACTGCTCACAACAACTGACTCACCTCACTTGGCGGCTTCCTTTCCAACGGTGCTGATTGTTTCAAATGCTATCTGAGAGCTGCTATCAACAACCAATTTGGGCTCTCTTTTTTTAGTTTCATTAGATTTTTTATACCCTGTTATAAATTCTCGGGACAGTTTGACTTTTCCGCCCATTTCCTATATAAATGCAAACCCCGCGCTGAGTCTAGTGGGTTCGGTTACATGCTCTCCTGTAAACGAGACCATTGGTATGATCACTTTATCATAAAACTTAATCATATTTCCAGCTCAAAACAAAGGTCGGATCCATTCAATCTCAATTAAACCATCCTACCAATTTTTCTGTTTTTTTTGCTTCTAGTTTTTTTATGAAAAAGTAATTTTATGCAATACCAAAAGTTGTTGGCTGGAAGTATGCTCAGCTGCTAATTATATTTTAAAATGTGCTATCAGATGTGCAAAGAAATCGCTAAACGTATACTTCTATTGAAATTTTTGTGAAAGTATGGTTTTATCTGGTTTAAAAATATTGGAAAAATAATTGTTTTTCAAGTGATTTTTTTCCCGTTAAATACAAAGTTTTGTATGAATGTTTAATCATAACGGATTTCCCGTGAACGACTAGCTTTCATTCTTCGAACGAAGAAATTGAAATATTAGGAATTACAAACTGTCATCAGTGTTTTCTATACTCATATTTGTTCTCACTATTGAAAATGGGGAGGAACTTTGTTTTCGGGTGTTTTGTTTTTTTTTCTTTTTTTTCCACGCAAAATAAGCTAACACAGAAAATACTCGGAACGTGTCCAGTGATATATCATTTTAAAAAGCTTTCAGTCGTGATTAAAATAAGCCCTTAATTTGAAAACTAAAATAAGCCCTTAATTTGAGGTTATTTATATTCTTTAACGACTTTCAGAAGTTCTCTTAATGTCAAGAAAAATTCGATTTAAATTTTTGGTCCAATTTCGAGCGATTGAGGTGAGCGAACAGGCCTAAAATATCTTATTTATGCTTAATTCAAGCCGTGAAAACTTAATTCTACTCGAGTAAAGTTTGATTGCACCATTTGGGGAATAAACAATTTTCAAACTTTTTTTAAATTGGTATTTTTGATTTTTTAACGTTAATTTTTAGTATTCCACGGATGAAAAACACTATTATGTTCATTTCAGTTGTCTTTTATGAGCTCAGAAAGAAAAACTTAAAATATAGTTTTTGCCAAATTATTGGCAATATTGGCGACTTTGAACAAATTAAAACGGTCGAAAAGGTGCTTCAAAATTAATTGGATGTTGCCAATAATTTGGCCCTAACTACAAAACAAATAGGCTTAAAAGAGACCAGCCGTGCGACCTTACTATTATCGACGAATCTACGAAGTGTCGTTTAACAGACAATTTCGGATTAAGTGGACTTCTATTTAGTTTTAACTCTAACTACTAGCCTAAATTTTGAGACTTGCTTCAAAGAATTTCAATTCATATTTTTTGATGCTCTAGCAAAATATATTAAAAATTTACAAACATTAATAAAAAATTTCCTCGCGCTGTCTGTTTTAAATTAAACACCAAGTTTCCAAAACATTATCTCCGATTTGACGGAGTAAATAAAGAAGTTATTGGAACTCGACTATCTCGAGCAATGTTTTATAGATTTAAGAGTACCCTGCATGTATTGGGTTTTGAATTGCCGAAGAATGAGCGAATTTAAAGCCCTTCTTTCTAATGAAGTTTTTTTCTGTTTCTGTTTTTGTTTCATTTCGACAGCCTCTGATTTGTTCACGCAGTTGTGATGGAGTCTATTTGAGACATGCTCTTCAGGTTGTTGTCTTTTTTCCACTTCATTCTAAAACAAAACTCGTCTTCATATTTGCAAAAATGCTTTGGACAAAAGTTTTTTTTTGCGTGCCGCTTGAACTTCAAAGTTAGAGTATAGACGCATTTAAAGGTTGGAACTATTTCGAGCTTGGTGGACCCAAAATTTGTCGTCGAAATACCATCAAAAAATCAATCTGTGGTTTACAAAAACATTCAAAAAAGAAATAGGTCGCCATATGACCTTCCCTTTTGCCTAGATTTTTTTCCTTTTATATTTTTGTATAGTTATTGCAAACACAGTTCAATATTCGATCATAGAAATCTACAACAAGCATATTTATGAATGAGCATATGGGCCTGTTCTTTAAGACCATTTATCCACGGGGGAAAGGACCAACACAAGAGCTGTACAGCTCATCACGGCGAACCGCTGTTGTGCCCTTGTTTTTAAGAACTACATGCTTTTTTTTTTTTGGTTATTTTTCTGGGCTGGGTAATGTTGCTTCACCCTCAAGCAACGAGCACAGATCATGGTGGGCCTCGAACATCCGACCTTTCGATTGAGAGGCGGAGACGTAACCCTGTTGAGGTCGGGGGGGGGGGGGGGAGGGTGCGGTGATAGAAGGGGATAAAGAGCAAGAACATTTTCCAGTGAAATGGAGCCAGCATATTTCTTCAGTCAAATGAGTCCATTGAAGCAATTACTATGATGTATGGCTGGGATATGGGTTTGAATAATTCGCAAGTATTGTGTTGCGGCTTACCGTCTGTTCTGGAACCATATTTTGATCTGGCGCTCCGTCAGTGCGAGTAGATTGGCGATCTCTATCCTCCGTCTGCGAGTGAGGTACCGGTTGAAGTGGAACTCTTTCTCCAGCTCAAGTGTCTGGAACCGCGTGTAGGCAGTGCGCGTGCGTTTGCAGTCTGTCGCTAGAAAAAAAGATTGCCTTGAAAAAACTGCTAGAACAAAAATAAGTTGCCTTGGAAACAATTTACACCTGAAAACAGACGTCCTTTGTCTAACGGCGATCCCTTAGATTGAGTCCTTTTAAGATAAATAATTAGTTATACGATTAAGTTGAAGTGCTTCAAATTGGGCAATTAATATAAACAAGTTATTAATTTTATTATGATTATTGTTCCGACTTTCGATACGAAAGTAACGGAATATTTGTGCTCGGGGTGGGTTTTTTTTTTCTTCAGACAAATTTCGACTTTTTAACTAGCCATTTTTGACGGAATTTTTTTATATCACTCAAAAGGTATTGTTGTCCTGAGCTTAAATTTGAAAAGATATTTCACCTGTGATCATTTTTCGTAAAGTTATGAGGGTTTAAAGATGGCCATTTTGACCAATTTGGGACAATTATCGCGCGATATAATTCGCGCTATTAACGCGTAACCGGAGATTTAATCCGTCTTATAAATCGTTCCAAATTGGTTGAACGAAGCTTATTTGCCATAATTGATTTGTTACAAGGAAATCTCTCTTTTTGTACTTTATATGGCGTGTGGGGAGATGATTTTCATAAAAAATTTCAAATTTTAGAAAAAAATTTCTTTTTTTTTAATTTCATTTTATTTTTTTAATGTTTTTACTGCTGCTCCATAAACCTTAAAAGGCAATCGGAACATTCAGGGCTTCGCCCTGATACGAGCAGTCTTGTTATTATTATTACACAATGCCTCACCAAAAAATCATTGAAAAAAAATTAAGCATGTAATTCAATGATGCATCCTTTAAGCCCTCGCCATAAAAATCAAGACCTTAAAATTTAAAAAAAGGATTTCATTTACCTAAAAGCAGTTATAAATACAATACTAATTATCATGTTTAAAGAAAACAGGACAACCTTGAAAAAATCAAAATAAACAACTTTTCTTTTAGAAGCCTCTCAACTGTTTTATTTTTCAAATAAATTGCGTCTCAATGAAGTTCATTCACAAAAAATTTCAATGCAGGGATTCATTTAGAAGAAGATATCACAAAAAAGGGCGCTTTTAAAGTTTTAAGAGAACTCAGAAAATAATTCAGTCAACATAAAAACAAGAAGACGAGATTTTTTGAAATTTACTCCCCACTTCAAAATACTTGATCGGTCCCTAAGAGCAACGTACAATGAAATTGCATTTTGTATAGAAACAAAATTGAATTTGTACGACCAAAGCAAATTATACACTTTTATAGATGAAAAAACACAGCGCTCAGTGCGTTTGATTGCACTTTTTCACTGATGCAAATTTCGAAAAAAAACTCTTTTCTTAACTTTTCAAAATAGTGAATATCCAGGTCAAAGTTAAACGTAAATAACTGCGCAGTTGGAACAAAATCATCAAAGCGTATAAAAAAATTGGAAAGGTTCAAGTTACGTAAAGTATTTAAGCATATTTTAGGGGAGCATTTGGTGAAAATTGACCTTCTGTGCTGTTTTCTCGCATCGTTTCGTCTGTAAAAAACATAAATACTAAATTTAACGCATTGATTTCAATACATAGGTATTGATTTTGTTTAAATTAGAAAAAATATAGCTGGTCTCATCCTTAAATTATTCAATAGTTTTAAATTAATCAATTAACCCTCAAAAAGCAGTGAGCTCTTCTCGAACACGTCTAAAGGGCACAGTAAACTTGGCTATTTGTCTGTATAAGTCGTGTAACTTTAAATCGCCGAAATGTAATTTTTACTCGCCAAAAAAGTTAGATATGGATCAATATCCTATTTCCACTATCAAGTTGCAGCGCATTTTTGTGTAAACTTCAACCAAAAAGTTTAAAAAAAAACTGATAATTTTTTATAAGAGATTGACGTAGAAAACAAAATTGCGCCTACAAAAAATTGATTCTAATCTTGACTAAAAATGTAAATAAAATCTCAGACAATGATCGCGGTATCTGTTTTGCAATAATATTGTTATATGCTGTATCTATATTGTACATTCCTCTTGTAATTATCCCCACATTGAGCAATAAACGGGGTCCTTTCAAAGTGAAAGAGGGAGACGGATTATCCACACCAACAAGTTAAGTCATCTGTTCTCTCTCTCATCTGTACTCTCTTCACCCAACCCCAATCAAAGCAGACTTGATTGCTTTGAACTTGCCGGAATAATTTGACTTTGAACTTCATTTTTGTTCACTTAAACTCTGTCGAATAAAAACAAATTAATTGGCCGCCAAATGAATATAAATATATATATATAAAGGGTCCCCCATTTTTGGGAACGGACCCTAAAATTTTTCTAAAGGCGCTTTGGTCGCCAACTAATTTTGAGGGGGAGCGCGCCCCGAATAAACGCGATTTTTGGTCAAAATTTTCCAAAATTTCGCCGGAGGCGCAGAAAATTTGGCCAAAACAGGGGCTAAACCTGAGGGAGAGCAAAATTTGTAGTGCTTTAGGATATATTAGCAAAATATAGGGAGAGCACTATATATATAGCAATATATTAGGAGCATTTAAACTTTATATATATATATTGCGGTTTGACTTGAAAATTATCAGAAATTTTTCTAGTACATTTTTACAAAAATTTTAAGTACAATAATGCTGCAGTGAAAATTTATGTAATTTTCAAGTTCAATTGTGCATATTAAATGAAGTTTTATTGCCTTAGAAATTGCTACAGAAAATTTAACTCTGCGCCTTAAGGTGAGCAGAAAAGTGTCCTGATCACTCTTGGAAAAATTTTTACTTGGCTTGTTATTAGTTAAGATTCCGAAATTTTTGGGTTACCCAAAGAGTAATTAATTGAAAAATCGATTAAGTATTATTACTGAAAAAAAAAAAAGATTTCGACGCATCTCTTATTGATGGCATGATTTCAAGCAGGGGCGGATCTAGCTTTTTCTCAAGATTTTGTCGACCTGTTTTTAGTTCCAGCACCAAATTAATTTTCCGGGCACTCCCAAAGCTTCAAAAAGACCCTGTTTCGACTAAGGGCACGAGTCTTTGAAGATGTGGACGTCCGCCCTCACCCTTCCTCTAAATCCGCTACTGATTACAACGCATGATTTCAAAATGGTCTAAGTTTTTTCAATTAAATTCATTTACAACAATTTTAGTTCTTAGTTGATCAAAAAAATTTCATCGAGATATTGATACTAATTTTGATATTTGTCTTTAATCTTTCCGAAAAGTTCATTCTTTGTCTGTTTTTTAATACTAGCAGTTGGGTTGCTGTTTACTTGATTATAGGTAACTTACGTGGTCTTTTGCTCATCCACGCAAACACTTTCGATCCGTTCTGGTTATGCGAGGGCGAAATCTGACCGTGGCAAGTATTCATGTGATCTCCCCCATCTAATTCGGATCCATTACCCTCTCCTCCTGACGCAATCATCATCAACCCATTGCTGTCCAGACCGGGATTCGAACCCTGGAACTTGAACTGGTGTCCAAAATTGTGGGGTGCTTCGTTGATCTGGGAGTGTTTCAAAGATCCCGAACTTGCGTGGTGTGAAATATTTGCGCCCATTGATCTGGCATCAAGCGAAGTGGGCAGAAAACCGAAGTGCCAGTTCATCGGGTTTGATCCAGCGGTGGCTGAGTTTGTAATCTGTTGTAAAGCTGGGTTGGATTGAAGAGCGCCGGATGACTGGTACATTTGGGTCGCGGCCATTGAGGGGTAATAAGGGTTGTATGAAGACAGGGTAGCTGCAGCTGCGGGTAAAAGTGAGTGTGGATAGTGTTGCCCTAATTCCGCCGCCACTGCGCTGGCGGGCGAGTAGTAAGGAGTGCTCTGATATGCCGCGGCCAGTGGGTTCGATGGCGCGTTCCCGTGGTGCTGATGCGCTTCCGGGACGACGGAAGTTGATCCGGTGGGTGGTGGTGGTGGGGGTGCTATCGCGGGGTAGTTAACCGTTAATGAAGTCACGTGAAGATTATAATCAACAGCTGCTGGTCCGTTTTGATTGCTTTGGGAGTAGAAATTTCCGCCCAAAGATTGATGATTACTGGTTGCATTTTGGAGATGGTTTTGGTTGCTGAAAACTAATTGTGATTGGGTTGAGTTCGGACTGGGTGAGCAGGCAGTTGGCGATGGATTGTTTTCGTACATTTTTGAGTAATTACTGACGGAAATCTAACTTTTTGGTGATTTTATTGCGAAATATAAATCTGTCATTCGTAAAATTAAATCATCAGAAAATTGCTAAAAATACGTTTAAATTTTTCAGGTTATGAAGTTTCTCTGTCTTTTAAATGTTTTTGTTGTTTCAAGATTGGTAATATCTATTTCACCAGTTTTGGTTAAATTTAGCGAGACAATGTTTCGCTGATGTCAAATTGAGCTTTCACAAGTGACAGTTTAATGTGTTTCTCAACATTAATTTCTCCCATTAAGAGGAATAGGTGACCCAGTTTTGGATAGAGAACAATTTCAAGTGCTTCAAACTATGTATGTATTTTTGAATGAAATTGAACCCTCTGTTCGACAGGGGGCAAAAAGCAAATCGAATTTCATTGGCTAATCTAGCAGCCAATCACAGCGCAATAAAAGCTGCCTCATTTATTGATTTTCCTTGCAGCATATATCCCATCAATAAGAAAGGTGTTCAAAATAAACCGGAGTACTATAGCATCTTCTATCCGTCTCCGATTATTATGGAAACAAAAGATTTTTATAACTTTGACTAGTAATCATAATTCGGCGAGTGTTGATGGAGAAATTACAAGCTCCTCTGCTCATTTTTTATGTTCTGCGGCGGATGAAAATGCGCCATAGTTCGTGTGCTCGTTGCTTGGTAAAAAAATATATATTTTTTTCAATCCATAAAAATTACAGAAAGTACATTATTTTTTAAAACTTTCTCGCTGAGAAACAAAGTTCAATTTCAGGGAAAAAATGTTCATGTCTGCACAATTTTTTGAACTACAGTTTTTGATCTGATTTGTTGGAAGTTGCCAATAGTTCAACGATTGGCATGCCAGATTTGTTAATAATTTTTTTGGCAAAAATAGATGTCAAATAAGAACTGAATTTTCTGAAACCGGGTTTGTCTTCTGCAAAAAGTAGGGAGGTGTGAGTTGTATATATTTGTAAGAACAAGAGAAAGGCTGAAGTTGATAAGTGCTATAAATATTGGCGCTAGGGGAGACCCACTTAGGCCGTGAAATTGGGGGCAATAAATAATTATTTGTCGTATCCTAACAAATTGCCTTTTCATCCCCACCCAATTTATTGTGTTATAAAAAGATGACGCAGCCACCCGGGTACTAATCAAAACCACATCTACTGGTAATTGAGAAGCTAGGGCTTCAAACAAGAAAGGGTTAAAAGATCTTGTAAAGAGTAAAATTCAACTTGGTTTTCAGTTTGGCCCGCCTTCTTACTGAACCACATCTAAACTTTCCTAAATATTTTCACTCAAGTTGAAATAGAACTGTAATTTTTTGGCAATTTGAGCAAAAATCATATCTAGCGAATCTTGGAGGCCAACATTTCAAATGCAGGAATTATCAAGCAATGTTAAAATGAGTCGTCAAAATAACTTGGCAAACATTTTTTCTTTATCATTATTTTGATCTCCAAATCCGCAACAACAAAAAATCAAATCCGCTGTTTTATCAAATCATTTTCTACACTTGCGAAAGCATGTGCTTTGTAATCAGGAACTAGACTTTTTTCCCGATAAAAAAAGTGGAAAAAATTTTTTTTCTGGCTCAACTTATGGATGCTCAAAGCGTTTGTCGGCTTTGTTCCTCTTCGTAAGTTTTGCTCCGTAGCTTATTTAAATTTAAATTTGACATGTTTGCCTAGAATGAACTTCTATCGAGACATACGAAAATTTAAACCCATTTTTTTAAATTTCGTTTTTTTTTCGACTTTTATATTATGTTTTTATTGCAAAGCAAGTGGTGCGAAGCTTCACTTCGCCTCTGTGTATTTTTTTTTCTCAATCGAATTGCAGAATTGTTTTTGCTTAGCTTCTTGAAAGTTGAAAAAGAATTCAAATTTCATCTCTCAAGAATTTTCAAGTTCAATTGAAAACATGTAATTTTCAAGTTCAATTGTGCATATTAAATGAAGTTTTATTGCCTTAGAAATTGCTACAGAAAATTTAACTCTGCGCCTTAAGGTGAGCAGAAAAGTGTCCTGATCACTCTTGGAAAAATTTTTACTTGGCTTGTTATTAGTTAAGATTCCGAAATTTTTGGTTTACCCAAAGAGTAATTAATTGAAAAATCGATTAAGTAATATTACTGAAAAAAAAAAGATTTCGACGCATCTCTTATTGATGGCATGATTTCAAGCAGGGGCGGATCTAGCTTTTTCTCAAGATTTTGTCGACCTGTTTTTAGTTCCAGCACCAAATTAATTTTCCGGGCACTCCCAAAGCTTCAAAAAGACCCTGTTTCGACTAAGGGCACGAGTCTTTGAAGATGTGGGCATCCGCCCCCACCCTTCCTCTAAATCCGCTACTGATTACAACGCATGATTTCCAAATGGTCTAAGTTTTTTCAATTAAATTCATTTACAACAATTTTAGTTCTAAGTTGATCAAAAAAATTTCATCGAGATATTGATACTAAATTTGATATTTGTCTTTAATCTTTCCGAAAAGTTCATTCTTTGTCTGTTTTTTAATACTAGCAGTTGGGTTGCTGTTTACTTGATTATAGGTAACTTACGTGGTCTTTTGCTCATCCACACAAACACTTTCGATCCGTTCTGGTTATGCGAGGGCGAAATCTGACCGTGGCAAGTATTCATGTGATCTCCCCCATCTAATTCGGATCCATTAACCTCTCTTCCTGACGCAATCATCATCAACCCATTGCTGTCCATACCGGGATTCGAACCCTGGAACTTGAACTGGTGTCCAAAATGGTGGGGTGCTTCGTTGATCTGGGAGTGTTTCAAAGACCCGAACTTGCGTGGTGTGAAATATTAGCGCCCATTGATCTGGCATCAAGCGAAGTGGGCAGAAAACCGAAGTGCCAGTTCATCGGGTTTGATCCAGCGCTGGCTGAGTTCGTAATCTGTTGTAAAGCTGGGTTGGATTGAAGAGCGCCGGATGACTGGTACATTTGGGTCGCGGCCATTGAGGGGTAATAAGGGTTGTATGAAGACAGGGTAGCTGCAGCTGAGGGTAAAAGTGAGTGTTGCCCTAATTCCGCCGCCACTGCGCTGGCGGGCGAGTAGTAAGGAGTGCTCTGATATGCCGCGGCCAGTGGGTTCGATGACGCGTTCCCGTGGTGCTGATGCGCTTCCGGGACGACGGAAGTTGATCCGGTGGGTGGTGGTGGTGGTGGGGGTGCTATCGCGGGGTAGTTAACTGTTAATGAAGTCACGTGAAGATTATAATCAACAGCTGCTGGTCCGTTTTGATTGCTTTGGGAGCAGAAATTTCCGCCCAAAGATTGATGATTACTGGTTGCATTTTGGAGATGGTTTTGGTTGCTGAAAACTAATTGTGATTGGGTTGAGTTCGGACTGGGTGAGCAGGCAGTTGGCGATGGATTGTTTTTGTACATTTTTGAGTAATTATTGACGGAAATCTAACTTTTTGGCGATTTTATTGCGAAATATAAATCTGTCATTCGTAAAATTAAATCATCAGAAAATTGCTAAGAATACGTTTAAATTTTTCAGGTTATGAAGTTTCTCTGTCTTTTAAATGTTTTTGTTGTTTCAAGATTGGTAATATCTATTTCACCAGTTTTGGTTAAATTTAGCGAGACAATGTTTCGCTGATGTCAAATTGAGCTTTCACAAGTGACAGTTTAATGTGTTTCTCAACATTAATTTCTCCCATTAAGAGGAATAGGTGACCCACTTTTGGATGGAGAACAATTTCAAGTGCTTCAAACTATGAATGTATTTTTGAATGAAATTGAACCCTCTGTTTGACAGGGGCAAAAAGCAAATCGAATTTCATTGGCTAATTTAGCAGCCAATCACAGCGCAATAAAAGCTGTCTCCTTTATTGATTTTCCCTGTAGCATATATTCCATCAATAAGAAAGGTGTTCAAAATAAACCGGAGTACTATAGCATCTTCTATCCGTCTCCGATTATTATGGAAAAAAAAAGATTTAATATATCTTTGAGTAGTAATCATAATTCGGCGAGTGTTGATGGAGAAATTACAAGCTCTTCTGCTCAATTTTTATGTTCTGCGGCGGATGAAAATGCGCCATAGTTCGTGTGCTCGTTGTTTGGTAAAAAAATATAAATATTTTTTCAATCCATAAAAATTACAGAAAGTACGTTATTTTTTAAAACTTTCTCGCTGAGAAACAAAGTTCAATTTCAGGAAAAAAATGTTCATGTCTACACAATTTTTTGAACTACAGTTTTTGATCTGATTTGTTGGAAGTTGCCAATAGTTCAACGATTGGCATGCCAGATTTGTTAATAATTTTTTTGGCAAAAATAGATGTCAAATAAGAACTGAATTTTCTGAAACCGGGTTTGTCTTCTGCAAAAAGTAGGGAGGTGTGAGTTGTATATGTTTGTAAGAACAAGAGAAAGGCTGAAGTTGATAAGTGCTATAAATATTGGCGCTAGGGGAGACCCACTTAGGCCGTGAAATTGGGGGCAATAAATAATTATTTGTCGTATCCTAACAAATTGCCTTTTCATCCCCACCCAATTTATTGTGTTATAAAAAGATGACGCAGCCACCCGGGTACTAATCAAAACCATATCTACTCGTAATTGAGAAGCTAGGGCTTCAAACAAGAAAGGGTTAAAAGATCTTGTAACGAGTAAAATTCAACTTGGTTCACAGTTTGGCCCGCCTTCTTACTGAACCACATCTAAACTTTCCTAAATATTTTCACTCAAGTTGAAATAGAACTGTAATTTTTTGGCAATTTGAGCAAAAATCATATCTTGCGAATCTTGGAGGCCAACATTTCAAATGCAGGAATTATCAAGCAATGTTAAAATGAGTCGTCAAAATAACTTGGCAAACATTTTTTCTTTATCATTATTTTGATCTCCAAATCCGCAACAACAAAAAATCAAATCCGCTGTTTTATCAAATCATTTTCTACACTTGCGAAAGCATGTGCTTTGTAATCAGGAACTAGACTTTTTTCCCGATAAAAAAAGTGGAAAAAAATTTTTTTCTGGCTCAACTTATGGATGCTCAAAGCGTTTGTCGGCTTTGTTCCTCTTCGTAAGTTTTGTTCCGTAGCTTATTTAAATTTAAATTTGACATGTTTGCCTAGAATGAACTTCTATCGAGACATACGAAAATTTAAACCCATTTTTTTAAATTTCGTTTTTTTTTCGACTTTTATTTTATGTTTTTATTGCATAGCAAGTGGTGCGAAGCTTCACTTCGCCTCTGTGTATTTTTTTTTCTCAATCAAATTGCAGAATTGTTTTTGCTTAGCTTCTTGAAAGTTTAAAAACAATTCAAATTTCATCTCTCAAGCAATTTCTGGATTTG